GTATGATAAATTAGTAGATCAAGTTGATACTAGCTCATGTTGCTAGAGTGAAATGTGATCAGGGGCTCCAGATGAGAGAATGCACTAATAAAGAACAATGAGTTGGGATATTTGTCAAGGTGAGTAGGTCCGAATGAGGGAATGAAGAAGACTGTTTATGAGATTTTGTGTCATTCATACACAGGAATCTATATCTTCCATACTTTTACCTCCTATTATGGAGAATGTAGGGATCTACTTACTGAACAATAGTGCGTGAGGTTCTCAGATTGCATAGAATGTAATATGAAAAATATGATGTTCTGATGATTATATACAAATTCTTAAAAACCTCTCAATTCGTTTCTGTGTAGAATTGTAGTCCCACCAGGCAATCTGCTTTGGATCCTGTGTTTGGTTTATCGTGTATTTCATCCCCAACCATTCAATTTAGCTCACGTTGACACATCATTGTTCGCAATGGTCTGAAAACGAAGAACTAGGGCTGCATGGTCACTTTTACTGAAGGTTAACGTACAACCGAGGTTTATTAAGTCCATTAAAGATGACTCACTCCGTAACTAGTTGACTTCTTATGCGTAGCATCTAGGCATACGTGATAACCACTTCAACCACTTTTGGTTGGCAAAGATTTTTCGAGAACTTGGTCCTCAAAATTTTTAAAATCCACTGAAGGTGCATTAAAGTCTGTAAATGTATCTAACTCCACAAATGAGATTATAGGAACTTCAAATGTTTAGCCATTCTTATTAGTGAATTCCATAAGTTAAACCACTTATCTGCCAACACTTAGCAACCCTAGCAACTTCAGATTATTTGAATAACATCTAACATCAACAGTGGTAAACCCGACCGACATATTTTGATAATCATTGTTTTGTTGTTCCGGGCTGTCTGTTTTCATTTTACTTTCTCTAGTTGTAGATAATTATCAATAATTCGCTCTGGCACAGGAAATAACCTTAGATAACACCGTTCAGAAATCAACAGGCTATCTACTTAAGAAAAAGAAAATTAAAAGCTCCGTGCTGATGTATTGGATTGCCATGTTACATGTCATAAATGTACTACTTAAGCGATTACTGAACTAGCAAACTTAAAACAATCTTATATTACATGTTTGTTCTTTACGTCTAATGTTACTATTTATATGAAATTGATCATGCCTGTCAACTTGCGTGAATTCGGTAATTATTATTTTCAGAATATATATATATGTTATGTGTAAAGATTGGACATTGACCGAGTGTTCAATCCTATTGAAAAGACCTCAGTCACCTCATGAGTCGAACTACAGTATACCAAACCAGTAAGCGACTCCTGTGTCTTTCATTTTAGGCGCAAATCGACTAATTCTCACAATTGACTTCTTTGAAATATATTTTCCGAAAGATTAGTTTTTTTAATATAATAATAATATTAATATATTTCTGCATTAGCAGGTACACGCCATTTTTACAGGCATGATCTACAATTTACAACATATACTGGTTCACAGTATGCATCCCAAGCAAGCTTGTTTAGTAATTATAATCTATAAAAGTTGATAGCAGTTCATTCGTTCAGATATAATGTGTTTTCATAAAATGTCTGGACAAGCCAGGCTTCTATTATGGCAGTTGCATCCGATTTAGTAGAACCTGTCTGTACATCAAGCTTCAACCGCTTGTTCATGAAGTGTCAGAAATTCATCTAACAGACCTGAGATTATTTTGGTGGTTTTGTGCTGTACCTTAGGTGTCTTCGGCATTATTAAGGCCTCAAATATATGCATAAAATATGCCTAAAATATGCATTTCTAACGTCCTCTTTACAAGCATTTGATCAAAGTTTCAGTTCTTTTGTAGCTTCCATCTTCTCCAAACAGTTCACTAGCGAAAATCTTTTCTGGATGAGGGCCCCTGATCCCTTGGAGCATACACATTTTGCTGTACTTAACCTCGTTAGCAGCCCAGTTTGACACCTAGTCTATAAATCCTTATCATGATGAAGCACTACTTGGCTAATTAGACATTCTTATGAACCGAATGTCATGTTCGAAGTTAGTTATTGTCTCAGAGCTCTCCTTAATGTAGCGGAAGATTTCAGAGATATTGATTCCTAAGTACACGGTCGTTATTGCTGGACATATAATGATTGGGTAGAATATTATTAGCTGTTGAATACATGGAGAAGATCGGCAAATGATCGGGAAATTAAGATGGCTTGGGTCAGCCTTTCGATTATAATCACTCTTTGCATTCTCTTGCTTTTTAAAGTAAATTTACTATTCTGTCACCAACTTTAATGTTTTCTGAGATTATTCTTGAAAGAAAAACTACTGAATAATAATGTTATGATATGATGAATGTTATGATATGACGAGTCAGCATAGACGGTGATTTAGCTTCGACTTAAGATTCTAGAGATCAGGTAGTCTTATTATGGCAAATCCACAATATTTGTTTAGATCAATTACTCCGGTAGCATAGTTAAGTTCATTATTACCGGCGTAGACTTACTAAAGGCGACTTTTGACTGTGACCAGTCTTCGATTTGATAACTACGATTAGGGATTTGACTGTTCTCTAGTGATTATAGGACATTTCTTACTCGGAAGTCTTCCCAAATAATCGGTTTTCAATGGAGTTGCATTCAACTTCGCGTCACATCCAATATGATAGCCCGAAAAATTTTGGTCAATATTGATGGTCATGTCACGTGGTTTTTTTAAATTTTTATTTCCTGCTAGAATATACTTAGTTTTACGATTGGGTTTCCCAGGAGTTTACTGACTGCTGATATTTAGGGGGAGATGCACCGAAGAAATCATCTTTTTTATCTGCTTTCTTGGTCTCTTATTACTGAAAGACCTACTTGTGGTTTGTTTTTATTCCCTCGATTTGTGTGGCACAATCTTTTTTAATCCTACTTGAGATGACTGCATATCGAAGTGTGTCGGCTGAAAAAACATCCTCAGATTCATCCTGAACGATGACAACAGATCTGGGCTTATCAATATAATTTTTAGCTGTGTTCGCCATTGCAACAGCACCTGATAGTCGTTTTATCCGAGCAACACTGCTAGCACAACCCCATATGTCGTTTTACTCGGCCTTTTGAAATTCCCAGCTGTTAGATTGGCGGTAAGCACGCGGCGATAAATAGGAAAGTCAACAAGTTTGGTATATGGCAAAATGCGAACCGCGAAGTGTTAATTTAAAAGGTATAGCGAACAGAAGATCTGTCCTAACTGTGAGGGTACAGATGCCAAAAAAAGTTCTTTGGATAAAGGAGTTACTCCAGATAATACTTTGACGGAAATTCATTTGACTTGGAGTTGTTAGTAATCGCACTAAAATGGAAATAAAAGTAGGAAAGGATTTTCAGAAATTTTATTGCTGTAAAAAGAATCCAGGACTGAATTAGTCTGATAAATTCTGCAGTGCTTTCAATTTTAGTCAGACTGTCCCAGGTGTCAGCTAATTAACGTGTTTAAAGTATATATACATCAGTAATGACAATGGAATATGATTATCAGGTAAAGAGGTACATAGTCGACCAAACAAAAGGCTTTTAAAAAGATTGACATACAAGGCATTAGAATTGGTAAGGCTATTCAGTACAAGTTAATCAATAGAACCGAATTCATGCATATGATAGTCACATGCTCAAGTAGATATCGTATGACAAAATAAGTATATGGTTATTGTCATTGGACATGTTTACATTAAATGCCATGAACGGAAACACCTTTATCAAGCACTAAGTACCCGTGATATCTTTAAGTCAGAGAGAGTGAACTTTCAGGCGAAAATCAAGCATACCACTTCGATTACCGTCCAGATGCGGTGCTTCTTTGGCATGAATGGTACTGTTTCAGGGGAAAAATTGCAAACGTAACCTACATTTACTTCAGAAAATCCATTCACGGTATTGGGCATAAAAGGTTTGTGTTGGGCCAAAAATACCTCATGAATGACGGACCTAAGGTAAGGTGGATTCAAAAAAGTTTAATTCGAGTAGTAGTCCTCTCGACATTCTCTTGGGAAACAGTACTTAGTGGAGTTTGATAATTATATTGATTTGTTCATTTCTGTATATATCTAGAATCATCGAACTTCCAAGCGTCGTGAACTCTTGAATGCTACTTGATCTGATGAATAGAGGTATGGAAAAGAGCATCACAGGCTGGTAATGTGCGATCATTCATGTTGTTCAGCTCTGAAGTCATGCTGAGCTGGTTCACAATATGTTTAGTATCTGTTACTAGCGTTAAGTATGTTGTAACGAATGGGTTATACACGGTCACTGTACATGTCCTATTATAACTATTCATCCGTCCACAGCGAAAGAAGGACAGATACAAATGACATAGTTTATTACAGTCGCGAGTCAACTATTCTTACGAACAGGCTGTGTCTATAGCACATGGTCTCTTAAAGTGTTTAACAGTTTATTGTGACAAAAGATAAAGTTTTCAACACCTTACCTCACATCTTACCTTAAAACACATGCCCATCAAAAAGAGGATGATAATAAATCAATGTTAACAGTCACAGAGACAAGCGAAACAAATAAATAAACGTCATTCTATGGATTTTCGGCACAACCCAGTAAGTTTATTAAAGTGTGTCACTTTTGCAGCTCAATAGGGACATTTTACCAACAGCGAAATTCACGAGACGTATTTTCTGTTAGGCCTGATGATTTTGTTTCTGATTTATGTCAGATACATTTCCAAGTATATTCGGAAACTCGGAAAGCATAGCAAATGTATTCGAAAGCAAACGAATAAATTCATATTTGTCTTCAGATTATCTTACACACTTGTGATTGGAGTGTCGTCTGTGCTTTCGAGAAAAGACGAGATAACGTGCCCTCCAGCATTCCTACTCTAAAACACCGATTTAAGTCTGAGCCTACTATTTTAAACCTAAATAATTTTTCCATTACAGGATAATTCTGTAGTTCATATAAATTATTTATTTCTAATAATTTCATCTAGCCTTCCATGAACTACGGACTTTGCAATGATTGCGCGGTTTTCAATCCTTCTCCAAGGCGCGCGTTTTGTAAATTAGTGGGTGTAATTTAGTTTTCTTTTAATTTAAGTCACCTACTTTCATTGTGATTGGGGAAGGAATAACCTTTAAACAATCATGAAGATTATCATAGAGGTTTCCAGTCAGTAAAAGGAGTTTCTTACGAGAAAGACGACGTTGCACAATGTGATGTGATTCTATTCTGTAAAGAGATTTAATATATCTTACCGTTAACTCTAGCTATAGATGGATTATATAATGACATGCGCGCTATTCCTAGTGGACCCTGATCGTTCGTTATCTAAAACCCTCAAACGAACACAAAGAGGTCCATAAGGACCACAGTTTTAATGAGGGTTGGTTATTTAGGGTAAAAATTAAGGGTTTTGGGTCAAGGTTTTAATCTCAAATTAACACAAACTATAATGCAAAAACACTGTAGCAGTATGAGTCCGTAAATTTCGCTCACAAGCCAAATGTGTCGTTTAGTTATTTCGTCCGTAAGATGTAGTGCCACCAGGTTTAGGCTTGTTACAGCATGTAGTACTGTATTGAGTACTTCTTTATCTCAATTCTCTTGAGGATAATAATGTGTCAATGACAGGCAAATTTTGGTAAAAATCCAGTTATTTTCGAAACTACTCAGTGCTTTTGAACTTATTCACGCTACAGTTGATATATTTTCAGTTTTGTTTTATATCTAAAGGGGTTCACTAACGCACTGGTAATGGCTATGCGGAACTTCACCATTGACCTTACCGAGTTGCAGTATACGTAAAGCTACTATAATATTTGCAGTACAATACCCCACTACGTTAAGAAGGCTTTCTTTAGAGAATTAATGAGTTGGGAAAGTCAATAGTATCTAGGCATTAAAAATTTCTACCTAGACTGTATTTGCACAAATACTTGCCAGTTTTACGCCCTTCATTCTTTTGCTAGAACACTAGTGGCTTGTTATTCTATACTACGAGTTTTTGATGTTGCAGATATTCGTGTTTTGTCTAAGAATAATGATAAACCTTACCAATGCCTCAACTTGTATTTTTATTTCTCTTTAGATAACGTGTCCTTATGGAGAACCCTGTTTTTGATGATCCTGGCAATGAAGCCAAATATTGGCGACAAAAGGCTGAAGAGTACCGTAGCGGGTAAGCTTCCTATTACAGTGTTTGTATTCTTACGATGATTAATAGTATGGAAGAAGCACGAGAAGAGCTGGAGGACTTCCAAATCAGCTCACGAGAACTGGAACTAGAGCTTGAAACTCAATTGGAACAATTAGAAAAGCGTAATTCAGAGCTAGTTGTATTGTGCGAAAAGCTAACTGTTGAAAAAGATACCTACCGTGTAAGTGTAAGCACAGTGATATTTTGAGACAGCTGTTCTGGATAAAAATTAATATTTTCGGTTCTTGCTATTTGTAGCATAAGGTGGAAAATAGTCAAGAATATGTTAATCACGAAATAACTAGACTGCAAGATGAATTAGAGAAGTCGAAGTTAGAACGAGAGAAAATGCACAGATATATCCGGGAGCTGGAACAGTTAAATGACGATTTAGAACGTTCTAAAAGGTATTTTATAAGTTTGACGCTCCAATAACTCTTTACAGAGCGGCAGTTGTAACATTAGAAGATTTTGAATCCCGCCTAAATCAGGTAAAAAGGTGCTTTTCATACATGCTTGGTTTTACAGGCTATTGAGAGAAATGCATTTTTGGAGAATGAGTTAGATGAAAAGGAGGATTTAATGGTAACTGTCCAGCGACTTAAAGATGAAACTAGAGGTTAGTGTCATAAACGTTTTAAGAATCGACCAAATAATTTGATTTTATCTCTTAGCGTATAAATTTATTTTACAAAGCTTATTATGTATGGTTTTGCATTACAGACGGGTTTATGAGTAAATGTAAAGGTTGGATATATATATATATGTATATATATATATAAGTGCAAGTTCTAATATTTCTGTATTGCCTCGTTATCCCATCACGGGATGTACTAGTTACCTATGTTATAATTAGCTTATATACTGTTAGTGTTAAAAATTAGCGACTATATCCTCTGTATCCGCTTTTTTCTCACTACTATAGGTATCTGATCACTCGTCCTTTCTGTCGGTTAGCTACTTATAAATCTCAATTTTTCTTTCGTCATATTTTTACAACTGAGACTTTTGATGTGATTATACATCTTTTGAATAATATGCAGCCTTCTAATGATGGTTATAAGCTCTGTTAGTTCAGTTTTTTTCGAGCAACGTAATGTGATCAAAATTTCTTTATAAAGCAGTTGTTAACAGCTCGCTTTTTAAATATGAAAGACACAAAGGTTTAAGTACTATAATTATTATTGTTTACTGAACATAGTCAAGGGCAGTAGCTTTCTAAATATTCGGATGTATATAGATCCAAATGTTTGGAATCACATTGTTGTAAGGAAGCTTTTGTCAAAACGAATGATAATTAGCTCATTCATCAAGCACTTCGGTATATGCCACACTATGTACGGGGGTCAATGATAACACGCTGCTGCTCGAACAGAAGTAGGTAAATCGGAGTTCGAACCTGAGACCGAAAGTCGAACTACTAAATCACCTCTCCTTTGTCAAAATGTAAGATACATGGATGTCATAAAATGGAGATTTACAGCTCTGCTGAGAAAGATGACCATATAGATTTCACCAAATATATGAAGTATGATTTATTAGTGTGCATATGTTTTGTTTGTTACATTCGACTGTCTACTTGAATTAATGAAGGTAGTTTCCTTTTACCCTTACCTTATTTGTTTATTTAAACACATAAATATTGGTACAAGGAAGCACCAAATACATATGCGCCTCATAAATCATATTCGATTTGTGTGAGGGCTGTGATACTGCCCAGGTTCCCAGACTGAAGCAGGTGGTTTTCTTAGGGGGCCACACCCGAAGCCTTTGACCGGAAGATCTGAGCCACAAGGCAGTGGAGCATCGTAAGGAGATGCAGTCCGATGGTAGCCGGTGACCAACAATTGATTCAAACGCCATTCGTCCCCTCAGGATACTGGAGCCTATGTGCACCACTGGTTTGGAATCAGGGTTTTCCAACTCCTCTAGGTGAACTTTCCGTGTCCACCAACCCGGTTAAAGCGCCGGACATTCGCTTTTCATCCTCTCACTTTTGTGAACAACACCCCTGCCACGAGAAGGCAGTGAGTAGGACTTCCCTGGCAGAGGCTATATATTCGCGTGGCCATATGAGAGCATTTCGAGAGAGGGGGGCGAACTCTTCCCACTCTCGGCCGTATCAGGGCATCTGGGGGCTTACCTACTTTTTCGAAGTCAAAATAAAAAGCAACACAACATATATTTTTTGACAGGCCACTTTCTAATAGCCTATGTTTCTTAACAAACAACGAAGATAGGTAGTAGGATATTTAAATGTTGAAAGTATCTGCTGTGTAAGTGCTAATGTTTCCGGAACCAAGTCTTAAAAGTGAATTCAAGTGAACTGAGGATACATTGTTAATTCTTGAGGCATTTAATGGATGTAAATAAAAATGACAAGACAGTTCACCAAGTACGTTACAATCTTGCGTTTTAAGCTACAAACCATACTTACTGTGCGCAGAATATTGAGAAATTTAGTTGATGAAACTAGTGAAGTTCATTAATCACGTACGACTTCTTGTGTCACTTAATATATATATATATATATATATATATACTACTTGTATTCTTCTGCAGTGATGAGTGTTTGGAGTGTTTTGAATAATATTTTTTGCCAATTTACTGACATTTTTTCATTCCTTGCTACAGACCTCCACCAAGAATTGGCCATAACTCGCCGTCAACCTGAACTGGGTACTTCACCAGAAGTATGTAATGGAGGCAATACCATTCCTACCAAATGTTTGAATAAAAGTAAGTGAAATAACTTCCTAGCATCTTAATATATATGCATATGTTGTATTACGGTATGTTAGTTATCTTTCTAAGTATTATTTTGCCTAGCATGGTATTACCTCGCCGTACACTTTGAGAGCAGTAATTTTTAAACCCTAAATGCGTTAACAAAGGTATATTTATTATTTATTTATTTATTTGAACAGATAAATATTGGTACAAAGGGGCACCAAATATATATGCGCCGCACAAATCTCATTCGATTTGTGTGAGGGCTGGAATACTTCTCAGGTGCCCAAACTGAAGCAGGGGCCCACACCCGGAGCCTTTGACCTAAAGTTCTGGTCCACAAGGCAGTGGAGCATCGTAAGGAGATGCAGTCCCATGGTAGCCGGTGACCAACAACTGGTTCACATGCCCCCAAATGCCCTGGTACGCCGAAAGTGGGAAGAGTTCGCCCCCCTCTCTCGAAATGCTCTCATATGGCCACGCGAATATATAGCCTCTGCCAGGGAAGTCCTACTCACTGCCTTCTCGTGGCAGGGGTGTTGTTTACAAAAGTGAGAGGATGAAAAGCGAATGTCCGGCGCTTTAACCGGGTTGGTGGACACGGAAAGTTCACCTAAAGGAGTTGGAAAACCATGATTCCAAACCAGTGGTGCACATAGGCTCCAGTATCCTGAGGGGACGAATGGCGTTTGAATCAATTGTTGGTCACCGGCTACCATCGGACTGCATCTCCTTACGATGCTCCACTGCCTTGTGGCTCAGATCTTCCGGTCAAAGGCTTCGGGTGTGGCCCCCTAAGAAAACCACCTGCTTCAGTCTGGGAACCTGGGCAGTATCACAGCCCTCACACAAATCGAATATGATTTATGAGGCGCATATGTATTTGGTGCTTCCTTGTACCAATATTTATGTGTTTAAATAAAATAAAATAGGTTCACACGCCCTTTGTTCCTTCAGGATACTGGAGCCCATGTGAACCATTGGTTTGGAATCAGGGTTTTCCAACTCCTCTAGGTGAACTTTCCGTGTCCACCAACCCGGTTAAAGCGCCGGACATTCGCTTTTCATCCTCTCACTTTTGTGAACAACACCCCTGCCACGAGAAGGCAGTGAGTAGGACTTCCCTGGCAGAGGCTATATATTCGCGTGGCCATATGCGATCATTTGTAGAGGGAGAGCAGACTCTCCCCACTCTCGGCATTTGGGGGCTAACAAAGGTATAGATAATTTATGACGTATCAAGCTACTGTATCGACTTACGATATTATTCTTTTTGAGTGAGGTTAATCATAACGTTCTGTTTAGTTTTTCATCGATGGGATGTAGTCTATAGGCTGAAAGGTCATTACATCGTCTAGATAATATCTGGTTATTTTGTGAAGGATAGTTGACTAGAACAGTATCAACTAAAAGACCATTATAATTATAGTTTCATTAGATGACTAAGGTATTCGGTAATTTTGTTAGTTTTGTACTTCATATGAGTAACTTTTAATAAGATTCTATTCCATAATTATTGTTTTCCAAATTGGATTACGATTTTATGGTAATTGTTTTAGGTGTTCAGTGCAAATAAAACAGACCCTACGTTCCTTATAGATTTTCTTATTTTTCTCATTTTTGAATTGTCATTTTATCTGAGCTTTACATGAAATCTCTGCGTTCATATTTACCAAGTAGGTAGTAGACAAAACAAAAACACAACCAAACATTTTTAAGATGGTTCATCAATATTTCGTACTTTTTACGGAAGATTGTTTATATTCAAATGTCTTTTCTCTTATAAACCGAAAGTGTATTTATTGTTCAGTCTTTATCCGGTTTGGGTAGTTCAGTGAAATTAGCAGAATCCTCATGACGTTATTTTCGTTCATTAGCTCATTTTCGGGGTTGATTTTCTTTGTATTTGTTCCCATGTTTACAGTCATGGAAAATTTATATATTCACTTTCTGATAAACAGATTGGGGTAGTTTTCTAAATGACATTCTACAAAAACATGATCGAAGTATTTGGTTGTCACAAGCGTTAGATAATTTTAAAATAAATTTGTGTAATTTTTAGTAGGTTGTTGAGGTCCGCGAGATAATCACTAGGATTGGTAGTTGGAGACTAGGTGCAGATTCATTGATCGTTTATCTACCTTTCGATCTTCTAGTATTCCTTCATAAATACCTTTCCACTCTGTTTGTTTCGAACCATATTCTGAGTATGTAATCTACCTTTTTATCGTTACTACCACGTTATCTCAATCTCTTCTGTTATTCATGATGCTGACTTTACTTGCTGTGCTAATGTGGTATGGCAAATTAGGCCAACTCACATCTGTGCTAGGCTCTAAGTTGATGACTGACTGGCTGATTGTATTATCCATTCAATATAATGATTGATTGAAATTTGACTATGTGGTGCCCGACGACGACAGAGCTGGTAAGATGATTGGTCATGGAGATCAAAGACTGATAAGTAAAATTATTTTTCATTGATTATATTTGAAAGATGATTTACCATAGGGTTTCCATTATTATAAACTTCTAGGTAAGTTCGTGATACATAATTACTCTAAGTTGTTAGATATTCTGAGTTTTTGTTATTATCTTCACTGTTTTTCCGTCTTATTCTCATTTGGCTGGAATATCATTTTCCGTGTGAGATGTACATATGTATTATATATAGTTACTGTGATTAAAATAGTTTCAAACACATTATCACTTAGCACACTTTACTTGCCGAGCACTTTGACTATTTAAATCTCTCACTGTTTTTGTTTTCTTCCCTAGTTTTAAAATATCTTTCTAATTTACCTCAATAGATTGCTTCAAAACATGTTGATAGTGTTAACTAAGGATCTGCTGTTTCATAGATTAAATTTACCACTTCAGCCAGTTTAACTCTGCTAACGAAAAACAAGTAAAAAAGTGGCCTTTCCAATTAGTATATAACCTTGGGAATTCATCATGGCATTTTGTTGAACATGCTTAAGAATACACATCCATAAATCTGTCAGCTATACTGTAATAACCACATGCAGTTAGGCTGTTTATTTCCTTATGCGGTAATATTCTCGTAGTATGGGTAAAAGTGCTTTGAAATTATTTTTTTGTATGGAATTATATCAGCTGATGAGATTTGTGCGGCGTATATATATCTGGTGTTTCCTTGTACCAATATTTATGTGTTTAAATAAATAAATAAATTAGCTGAAGAACTGTTAGACACCCAGGAGCTTTTAGTAAATGATTCGTCCTAGTTTGTAACTTCTTAATGATGCACGTCCACGACTCCATACAGGATCAAGTACAGGATACTCAGATGCAGTTCCAAAGAGGATCACTGAGTTAGAACTAGATGGTACATTTCTCCGACTTCAGTTAATCAGTAAAAATACTGATTATTCGATAAAATTGGTAATAAATTTCTCGATCTCGACATTGTTAAACTCCACTAATCACGACTGTTGACTAGGACTTCTGAAATTCATGCTGAATTGTTCCTTAGTTGATTGATTTATTAATATTAATTCAATACGAATACAGTTTCTGCCACTAATACCAACTGAGAAGACAATGGAAACCAACACTTTTACTCTACTAAACAATTGAAATATCTTTATTTGGTTCTGTTTGGGTGTATTTGAATTTCTTTTATTTATGTACTTATAATAATCATTTGTAATAATAAATGCTAGATGGTTAATTCTTATTGCGTTATTTCGTCTTAAAAATGACTGACAATATGGCACGTATCACTTTAAACGTATTGGTCCTTTTGCGGTATATATATATATATATATATATATATTACGATGCACAGAATGTTCACATTTTTTAATTGTTTTCATCGTAAGACTAAAATGTCTTAAGATCATTAATTAACTGGGGTGAGTACTTCAGACTATTATAAGTCACCGCTTTACTAAATACATGATTTGATATCGTTTTATACTACACTAATTTTACAATATTATTAAAATATGATGGTAATAAGTTGTAATTGAAATTTGTGTCCGGTGTTGTACGTTCACGCTTCATGAAGATTGTTACATCGTATGTGCATCTCTAGCTTTGATTATGCTTCATATTTTACACCTCAATGACTATCATATCAGTTTGTGACGAAAATTATCTTTGAATTGCACAAGTCTCTTAACAAATCATTATATTAAAATTAATAGAAATAGTTTGTGAAAAAAGGAATGTACTTACCCATTGTCACAATTCATTTTGTTAGGTCATTACATTATACAGAACTGGTATAAATAATTAAGCTTAACTTCCGATATAATTTTTCAGTAAAGCGTTTTCTCCAGCAACGTGTAACTAAATTCTTCGTGATATGTAATATTAATAGTCAATTTTAGTTAGTTACAGCATAATTTCCCCTATTACGTACATATTTCTTTAGTTTAAGATGTTTTTTAAAGACGAGAAAAATAATTTAGACTGAGTATTTGTTTATCTCTCCTCTTTTTATCCTAATCGTAAAGCTATCGGATGTGCTGTTTCATCGAAATACTTTTACAGTTCCTTTTAGTCATTTCCACATTTTCAGGATGATTTGATCTTATTCAATGTAAAGGTTTGGATTAATCCATCGTTTTTAGTAATTCTATGCGGCCTTCGTTGAGCAAGACAGTTGGTGTAATTTATTTTATTTGTTTAAACACAAACATTCGTACAGGGGGGCACCAAATTTATATGCTCTACACAGTAGCAATGGAATTGTGAAGAAATAGAGAATGTAAAGTGCGTATAACAAAAAGAAAAACAGCAAGGAACTGAAATTAGTGTATGAGAGTGAAATAACAATAGTAATAATAATGGGAGAAACACTTCATTTGGGAAAAACACAACCAGGAAAAATTCTTTTAGTTAAAGTTATGTTCACTTTTATAAAAACAGTAAAAAAAGTTACAGCGGGATCGCTACTGGCTTCTGTCCTGAGCCATGTCTGATGACGCCCCTAACCACTGTGGATCTCTAGAATCCTAACGAGGGATTCTTGAAGTACC